GTAGATGTAGACACAGGGTCAGGGGTCAAGGGATGTTTTAAATTTCGTTAATGGGCAATCTTGAATGTGTTTCAGTAGAGTATGAGGCAGGATCATCAGCTAAGAGAAATGAAAGTTCGCAATGGTGCAAAGGCAGTGACATGCTGAGGCTTATAGGAGCTAATCGCTGAGTTTTCAGGAATTTTGAGAGCTAGTTGTTAAACATGGCTGTTATTAAAATGTAAATTACATAAATTTATAGTTAAATTATATTTTAAGTGAAGGTAATAAATACTCAAGAATCAAGGTTTCCTAATTATTTTACTACCTTTCACTGTTAATTATACTCTTGAGATTATTTATATCTATTGTGTCTGAGAACAGAAACCAGGTTGTATTTGGTGGAAAGGCCATATGAAGGTATGCTACTTACCACACGTTGCTTCCCCACTCTGCATTCAGTGATGTCACGTTAGTAATTTGGAATCACCCATCATTTGAACATTTACAGTTTAAAAATCAGCAAATGCTACAAATTTGGGCTTTTTTGTTAGTGTTGTTTTTCAAAGGGCTGTTGATTGAACGTTTACTGGCACACCTAGGTAAAGCTTTTGAGGGTGATGGTGAATATTTTGAGTGGCCACTCAGGAACAGGAGATCACTGTTCTGACAGTTGGCCACTGACTGATAATGGAAGGTCAACGCTGCTTGGACCAGGCTGAAGTTAGTAAATATGATTGTCAAAGTAATGTATTGCACAGGCAAGTCAGGTGTGAAAGCAGCAAAAGTTTTGGGTTGATTGAATTCCTTGCGTGCAGAGTCTGGGGTGGAGAAATAGAAGTAATTGAACTGGAACATCTTAAAGTCTCAGCCAGTTATACAGAGTAGTGAGTTCAAGAGGAAGCTAATATATTGGGAAAAAGGGATGGTAGTCTGGAACTAGAAACTTTAATGAGGTGAAGCCCAGATATAGCAGAAATGATCCAGAGGGAGAGTGAATATGATGCAGAACTGCAATCAGAGTGGGATTTTGGAATTTGAGATTTCAGGTAGAGCCATTGCCAGACCCTGGGTGTGATGGTGATTACGAGTTTGCTTAAGTTTATCGTAAGAGTAAATATGGTGGGATAAGAAGTTGTCAAGGGTCATAAATTTGGATTGTTGGAAGAGTTGATCAAATGAGCTGAAGATACCAAGGATGATGGCAGGAGCTGGGGTAGTAAACTGAGGATGATGTAGGAGTTGGAGTGGAGAGCTGCACTGAGCTGGATCTAATCCCTCTGAAGTTTTTTTGTGTCTAGATTATTTTTCAGCAAGAATGTCTTGTGTGGCATTGCATAGGTAGGGCTACTTTATCAGCCACTATCACTCATAGGCAATAGCTGCTCTGGGTAGAGACAGTGTATTGGAATTTTACTGTAAAAATATTTTTAATATTTTACAAAGTATAATTTGCTTAACATTCTCTGTAATTTCTGATAAAACTGATATACTGTTGTGTTTATGGGTTGAGGACAGTGGTAGGATATCTTGTTTAAAGCATGATTTACTTTTTCTAACTCACTAGTTCCCTACTGCTTCAGGCCACTGCAAAGAGATTTTTTTCTTTTCTCTTTTGCATGTTCATAAACAACTAAGGCAATACCTTACTTATTTTTCTCTGTTGAATTCTTAAGTGTTTTCAAGTTGTTGGTACTGCAGCATATTTTTCAGAATTTATTTTAGTATTTATTATTGCTCACTTCTTTTACTATTTCCTCTAGATGTCATTTCCCTCTTCCACCTTTAGTCATCATGTTGGACTCTGTAAAGCATTAGTTCTCAATTTTGCCTTTCATTTTTGAAACAAAGAGCACATATAAAAATCATTTTGTCCTTTAGTATTGCATCCCCTTATAGCAGTTTAAGCCATTATTTTTCTGCCAAGGTTTTGAAAGTAGGCACTTAGCTCATATTTCTTAATGATGTGCTCTTCAGAATGTGGGTGACATCATTGAACACAAGTATTTGTAATAATACATTTTCCAAAACCTTGCTCTCTGAATCTCTTGCTTGGTGCTATTCAGGGGAGATCAAAATTCAGCCAGTAACAACAGGTTATTCTCCTTCTACATTTTTTCATTCATTATCAATATAGCCATGGTTTTAACAAGGGTCAATCACTTAACACACAGGATTGATCTGGAACCCTTTGATAGGTCAGTGGATGGATCAGGGACATCTGTTCTTCAAATCTCATTAACAAAGAGTGTTTCTTACATTGGACTATGCAAAGATGGAGGAGAAAGGCATCCTTGAGGGAATGAATGTGTGAGGTGTGTGTGTGTGTGTGTGTGTGAATGTATGTATGAATTAGCAAGACAATCATTTACACACACACAGACACACAATAACTCAGTGTGTCCACTCACATTCCATTTTATTCTCTACCTGAAGATAAACATTTAAAACCGGTTGTTTAACCTCATATTTTAATGCAGGTTAGTCTTTTATCATTGCTATCTGAAAATGGTAGGGATTTTGATAAGCCATAAGGGGAAGAAGAAAGTAGTAATTTTAAAGTCCAGGCCATGTCTCGCTGAGTACTTTGTGAAACTTGGGTATCAATAACTAAAGTACTTGGGAGGTGGAGAATTGGTTTTGCTTCCATAATTATGGGAGGTTGTTTATATAGTGAAAGGAATCAGATTTGGTGTCTCACAGTCATGATTTTCCACTTCGTTCTGTGGTCTTTGGGAGCAATTTAACATTTCTGAGTCTCAGATAGGATCTATAATTTGAGGATAATATCTGCATTAACTGTTTTGGATATGATTATATGAGACAGTTTATTTAAAAATCTGACAGTGTACCTAGTATAGAGTAAGGCTTCAACAAATATAGGTTCCCAAGTCTCTAACCCTAGAAGATCATTTGATTTACAATCATCTATTAAGGCGCTAAAAAGTTACAGTATCTATATATGCAATTTCTGAAATTTGAATTAGATTTTCAATATTCTACCTAACTAAAATGTCTTGAAACTTGAAATAAGTGGTTATTATTTACATTTCAGATTTCTTAAAAGCACATGTGAGATTTAAGAAATGCCCACGTAGAAAACAATAAACTATTAGTGGAAAAGGAAATTTGCATAAATATCAGTCTTCTAATATTCTACGGGTAATTACCATCATAGCTGAATCGGTAATGCATTTTCATATGAAGGATTTGCTGCTTTATTCTTACCTCTAGGAAAAATATGCTATTATCTCCCCCAGATGATTAAACTATAGGTTTTTATTTTTTGAATCTTAGATTTTTGAACTTATAAAAATTTTTACAGCCTTGAGATTACCACTTTTAAACTTAATAACTTTAAAGCCTGAAACTGTTATTGATCACACTAAATATCTTACTTTCTACTCTTGTATTGTTCTCTGCTAAATTAAAATCTTAATGGGGCATAATAAAATATTTCTTCCTCTTATTTCAAAGACCTGCTAAGATATCATGTCCTGTTGATCAGTATATTTAATGTTACTATGCATGCTTTATTGTACATATTATATTTTCTCTTATGGCTTTTCTTTCTATTAAGTAATAATTTGATATTATAAATTGTTATCAAAGTTGATATGTAAATGGTGACACGGAGACTTTTTGAGAAGTAGGGAAAATGAGTTTATTAACTTTTCAGCTAAAGTAAATCTTAATGAAAACTTTTGTGTTTCATGTTATTTTTATTCAAAAATAAAAATGAATCACATTTGATAGGAAAATTTACTGTGTTCTCTATATAACAGGCCATTAGAAACTAGACCTATTTGTTTTCATTTAAATGTCTTGCACTGATCATTACAAAATGACATAAATTCTTTCTGTGTGTGTGTGTGTGGTTTTTTTTTTTTTTTTTTTTTTTTAGATGGAGGCTGGAGTGCAGTGGCGCGATCTTGGCTCACTGCAAGCTCTGCCTCCCAGGTTCACGCCATTCTCCTGCCTCAGCCTCCCGAATAGCTGGGACTACACGTGCCCGCCACCACACCTGGCTAATTTTTTGTATATTCAGTAGAGACGGGGTTTCACTCTTGTTAGCCAGGATGGTCTCAATCTCCTGACCTCGTGATCCACCCACCTCGGCCTCCCAAAGTGCTGGAATTACAGGCGTGAGCTACAGCGCCTGGCCAATTCTTTGTGGTTTTATTTAAAGTATGCAGTGTATATTCCTGCACTGTTAAGATCATTTGTGTTTTAAATGGAGATGTGAGCCAGCTGCGATGGCTCGCGCCTGTAATCCCAACATTTTGAGAGGTCAAGGCGGGCAGATCACCTGAGGTTAGGAGTTTGAGATCAGCCTGCCCAACGTAGTGAAACCCTATCTCTACTAAAGATACAAAAACTAGCCAGGCCTCATGGCGGGTGCCTGTAATCCCAGTTACTCCGGAGGCTGAGGCAGGATAATCGCTTGAACCGGGAAAGAGGTTGCAGTGAACAACAGTAAACCAAGATTGCACCACTGCACTCCAGCCTGGGCAGCAGAGCGAGAGAGACTCCGTCTACCAAAAAAAAAAAAAAAAAAAAAAGGAAAGGAAAGAAAAGAAAAGAAAAAATAATGTGTTCACAAATGCTAATTTTTAAATAGAAAAAAAAAAATTGCTGATTTTCCCCAAATAAAAACAACAGTAAAAAGCAACTGGCTAAAATTACTTTTAAAAAATGTGAAGGAATCACGTTATACCTTTGCTTAAATGTTATTAGTTTATGTTTGTGGTGTTCAGGAAGTCTAAGCTTCTTTAACAGAAAACAGTCTTTTACGAAAGTATCTAATCCTATCCTAGTGTTGGTTGCTAGGAGAACATTTGATGCAAATTAATCAGTAAACATCTAGCAGCCAGCTACCTGAGGAGAAGGGAAGTGGGAGAGACTTAGAAGCTGGCCAGCAGGGAAGCTGCTGATGGGAAAATGACTGTCAAGGGTTTTCTGTACATACTAGCGGCATCACACTGGGATTCAATTTTTTTTTTCTCTTTATCACTCCTGTAGGTAAGGAGGAGAAAAGAAAGAAAGAAAAATTGGAAAGATAAATGGGGTCTTCCAGTGAAGGTAAGACAGCAACGGTTGGATTAATTAATGATTAATAACAAGCAAAAATTAGTGAAAATGGAGCAGCGTACCTAATATTACCTAGATATTTGTATTTAAATTTTATTATGCATCATGCTTCCTATTTGAAAATAATGTTTTCATAATCAACAAAACTACAAAACAATTTAGATGTAAGCAATAGTCTTCCTTGCCCTAAAATTTCATCTGGGAGTAGATTCTAGAATGTTTTAGGAAGACTTAAGGATACATTCCTAGCCATTTTAAAATTAAAATTATGCTTCAAATATCAATAAAATGAGAATATAACTGCTTTTGTAAATTTTAGTGGAATTTTGGGGTACTCAATAAAGGGTTTAGGTCATTGGTCTCATATCTATGGAAGCACAGTGTCAGTACTGGTAGAGCTGGAGAAGTTTGCAGAACATGAAACAGTTAGTTTGCTGGACCTGGGGTTTTCCTTAATTCCTAATTTAAGTCCTTTCAGGTTTTGTTTGTTTTTGTTTTTGTTTTTTTTAAACTATTGAGGAAAGTTAAAGGGTGGAATTCAGTTTATAGAATATTACTTTGTAATGAATTTAGGAGGACATAAATACTTTATGTTTCGACATAAATACAGTTGTCTCTTCAGATCTGTATGCAATGTGTCCATGGATTCAACCAACCCTGAATCAAAAGTATTTGGGGGAAAAAAAAAAGAATGATTGCGTCTGTACTGAACATATACAGACATTTTTCTTGTAATTATTCCTTAAACAATACAACATAATAACTATTTATATAGCATTTATATTGCATTAGGTATCATAAGTAATCTAGAGTTGATTTAAAGGAACAGAAAGATCTGCATAGGTTACATGCAAAACGGATAGCATTTTAAATAAAAGATTTGAGTATCCAAGGATTTTTGTATCCACGAGGGTTTCTGGAACCAATCCCCCACAAATACCGATAGATGACAATGTCTATGAAAATACATAAACATAGAAATATCCTACAAACTACAACAGAAATAAAAGAATAAAAATTGTTTTTAGTTGTACAAAAATCCATTTAAATGTTTTTTAAAAAAAGGACAAAATTTGGTGTGGTTACGGAGTTTATTATTTTTGTGTTGAAAATAAATGTTATTAACTTTAATAAGGAAGTTAGGTTTATTTATATAGCTTATATTTTAAGTGATTTTACATACACATATTTGAGTTACAAAATGTATTTCAATTTTAATTCAAAGTGAAAAGTCATGAGTTCTCTTTAGAATTTTGCCATACGTGATATTTGATCTAAGTCCTAAGATATTGACTAAAGAAATTTATTTTCTTTTTTTGCATAAAAATGTAATTTCTTCAGTAGGTTTAATTTTATGCTGCATTTTAAAATTATCTGGCAATAACTTATGTAAAATATAGTCTCATTTCCTTTCAGTCTTTTTTAAGTGAGGCTCTGGAAAAATAAATAAATCTACCAATATGTAGACCACAGAACTTTATAATCAATATGGGTGCTAGGGGCTAAGAAGCTCAAAGTGAGATATTAGGCCCCTGACCTCAAGGAGATTACCCTCTGGCTTTACAGCCAGAGTTTGTTTTAAAATTAAAACAAACACATGAAACAGTTAACGAAAATGTTACCTGTTTGGTACAGAACATGCTTTAGAGGAGTTTGGAAACAAGAGTGTTTGGAAGCTTCTATAGAACCACTCTATGGAGGGGATGAACTGAATGGATGCTGAAAAATGAGGAGACATTGTAAACAGCTGTGTTGCTTTAAAGTTATATTATGTTTTATAATTCAGTATTAAGGAAGCAACTGGTATCAACTAATTTGCCTTTGGATGTTGCAAATGATATTCAACTTATCCATTTCACCATGGTACATTAACACAGAAAATATTCACACATAGATAGCCCTACATAAGAAAAATTAACTAGGTAATGATTATATATGGTTAATAATAATACAATTATATGTTAAAATATACAAATTTTATATGTAGCAAGGTCTAGAGTTGTGAAAATGCAATCTGTAAAGACACAGCTTGTAATAAAAGATAATTTAATTAAGGGGTTTTAAAATCACCCTTTATTAAGTTGCTATTTACCTAAGTTGATTATTTTCTTCAAAATCAACAATGTTATTACTATTGTTTCCAAACAGCTGTATGAAAAGTTACAGAAAATGGAAAAAGCACAACATCTAAGCAAAAAGAAAACAGAAATATTGAACTAAATCATTCAATATCAATATATTAATTTCCTGAATATACAATGGATCTACACATACAATACAAATGGACTATTGCTTTTACCTATTCTTTTTCTAAGGAAAAGGTAGATCACTTTAGTGTGCTAAATTCTCTTATATTTAATCATACGGCCCATATTGAGTAGTTATAATTTGGCTATAGTAATAAATTATTATATAAAAGTTGCCCATTTAAATGTTTATAATAACCATATAAAGTTCATCTTTACTTTAGTGCAGACTTCTCTCCCATGTCCTGGTTTACCTCACAGGCATTGCCCAATCTTTTTAAACCGGAACTCCCCCGTATTTGCTTATCCTTCAGGGTGTCTCACCGTGGTCAGTAAGATCACATTTTACCCAGGTTTTCATGATCGACTCTGGGGCATCAGGTTTAACTATTGTCTCCAAGCCATTTGATCTCCAATTTCTATTGCGTATATTCTTTGTGCTCTTCCCATCAAGACTGTGATGGTTAATTTTATGTGTCAACTTGATTGAGCCATGAGGCAGCCAGATTTTTGGTCAAACATTATTCTGAGTGTGTCTGAGAGAGTTTCTGGATGAGATTAACATCTGAGTTGGTAGACTGAGTAAAAGAGATTGTCCTCCCTAAAGTGGGCAGGTCCATTCAATCAACAGGAAACATGAACAGAACAAAATAGCTTTCCCACCCTCAAGTAACTGGGAATTCCTCCTGCCTGTCTTGGCTGTGACATTGTTCTTTTACCTGCATTTAGACTTAAATGGAAGCATCCACTCATCCTGTGTTTTTAGCCTCCAGGCCTCCAGACTGGAACTTACACCATTGATTCTTCTGAATCTTAGGCCTTTGCACTTGGACTGGAACTAAACCATCTGATCTTCTTGTTCTACCACTTGCAGACTGTATATCTTGGGACATTCCACCCTCTGTAATCACGTGAGCCAATTTCTTTTAATAAATATCTTTATATATGAATCCTATTGGTTCTATTTCTCTGGATAAATCTAATACAAAATCTTTGGCAATTCTGGATTTTGTAATAATCTCTTAATTGCGCTCTAGTTTTATGCTCTTCCCATGCATCCTCTACACAACCACAACAGTTATATCTCTTGAATGCAAAACTCTTTAGGTCTTTCCCTTGCTTAAAATTCCTCCTTGGCTCCTTATTCATTTTAGGATAAAACTCAACTGCTAACTTATCAAATAAAGTACCTTAATGATTTAGACCAGACTTGTTGGGCCTAGGTTTTTCCTTCCTTCTAGCAAAACTGAAAAAGTTCTAGTTTCCTGAACCAAGCTTCCTTGAGCCCCCGTATCTTTGCACTACTCACTTTACCTATAAGGTTATTTCTCCTATTCTCCCATTGTCCACTTGTTGAACCCCTATTCTTCCTTAACACTTGACTTGTGTTTTATTTTGACCTAGAAGCCACCCTTTAGTTTCTTCTTCTTCCTTCTTTTAAATTTTCTCTTACAGTATGGTTGTAATAGCTGATTTTTCACATCTATATTTCAAACAAAATGGTAAAATCCCTGAGGAGGGGAATCATATAAAAAAATTTTACTAAGTGCTTAGCATAGAGCATATAGTAGGTATTCACTAAAGCTCTGCTGAATATGTGAATGAATGAACCTTATTGATATCAATTAAATTTACTTTATAAAACACATGTTTTCATATTTAAAACATTAAAAGTTTATTTCAGAAATTTATTTAATTATGAATTATTGACTCCTATTTTTTATATTCTTTATTTATCCTGCCAGATCAACCCTGCCCTGTGGTTCCAGAAGCTGACATTTTTGAATTTAACTAATAGGACATCTTGCCCTCTGGACTGAGATGGATTTCAACCAATAGGTATAGACAAAAGATTACAGAGTAGAAGTTGAGGGAGGTTGAGGTTTTATTCCCACAGCGCCTTCCCTGCCAAGCCATGGGCTGGCAGTATACACAATCCTCTTTTAAGCTATCTGTTACTCCCTGCGGTCTAATACTTGCTTCCTCCCCTTGCCCATCAGTCCTGGTGTGGCAACAACTCCTCACTATTATCCTGGGGAGACTTTGCTTTCTTTTGTTTTTGAGACAGAGTTTCGCTCTTGTGCCCAGGCTGAAGTGCAATGGCACGGTCTTGGCTCACTGCAACCTCCACCTCCTGGGTTCCAGGGATTCTTCTGCCTCAGCCTCCCAAGTAGCTGGGATTACAGGCACCTGCCACCACGGCCCCCCCCCCCCCCCCCGGTTTTTTTTTTTTTTTTTTTTTAGTAAAGACGGAGTTTCACCATGTTGGCCAGGCTGGTCTCGAGCTACTGACCTCAGGTGATCCACCCACCTCAGCCTCCCAAAGTGCTGGGATGACAGGCGTGAGCCACTGCGCCTGGCCAACTTTACTTTCTATTGCTGGTTTCATTTACGTTGTCAACACTCTGGTAAAAATCACTTCCTTAAGTTTTCTCAATTACCCTGTTGGACAATGACACCAGCCTCTTGCCAAGACTATGACTAATGCAATATAGAGTCTTCCCCACCAATGTGACTTAATTTAATAATCCAACATGATACCATAATAACTTTATCATTTAGGTTATATATTGGGCTCATCAAGCATATTAAATGTGTCAATAATTCTACAGTAGGCCAAGCCATATAATCACAGGAAATCTAGTATCTTTTTAAGAGACTAAAAGCATCTTATAGCTTTAAAGTGCTTTTCATTTGAAAAGATGGTTTAAATTAATTATCTAATTTGATTATCTCACTTATAAATAGTTTACTAGACAAACAGTAGAAATGCTGAAAATACAGTTTTAAAAAGCTCATTTCAATTTTGTTAAACATTTTAAAAATAAAATGTGTTCTTATGACAAATAATCCAATGTTTTCATCGGTGCTACTTAGGAATATAATATTACCCTAACTCAGTTGTCAGTAAAAATGATAATTACAGTGCTTGGTGCCTACATGATTCCCTGGTGGTACCTTAGGGCGCTGAGTGTCTCAAGGCAGCCAGTGCATCTTGTAGAACCACTGGATGTGCTCCACTCATACTCTTTTGTCCACACTAAATGTAAAACAGAAAAATGACATTCTCTTTAGTGTTAGAAGCAGTATGTATGAGCCTACGTAATGCAAAAAGCATTTTCAGATGTGTTCTGTAGATACCGCATTTCAGTCTCTGCCACGTGGGAGTGCTTCTAGAGCTTTTCAGTGTCTTTTCCAGAAGGAAAGCACTAAACGCCACCTTTTTTTCTGTACAGTTGTTATGCTTCTCAGTGTCTAATTCCCAGGAAACTGCAGAAACACCAAGAGTATCTGTCCCATGATATAGTTTGGTGGGACAGAATTTATTCTGCCCTTTTGCCATTTTAATAAAAAATGTAAATATAATATATATGCAGGATTTTAAAGGGTGTAGGAGATGGATACATTTTTATGATTGAACACTTTTGACAATGAAGAAATTTTGTTTCTGGGAAATTCATGCAAAGTAGTGCAGTCTTCAAAGTTCTCAGATTCTAGAGGTCAAATTATCTTATACATTTTAGGTAAAAGGGCTGATCAGGTTTCCCCTGAGAGCTACTATTCCTGGAAGCAACATTTAGAAGGTTTAAAATTCAAGATGCTTCTTGCAGAAACAACTGAGTTTTCTGAGAGCTTCTTCAGCCTCATGTTATACATGTAGAATGCACTTGAAGAATACCCCTGAACAGATTCTTTCATGGTGGCTCTTTTTTTTTTTTTTTTCTTTAATACACTGCCTTTATATATCTGGTAGGATACTCAAAAGACACTCCTTTTAAGTATGTCATTTAAATTTGATAAAACTACATAAAGAGATTGGTCTCAGGACTGTATTGATGTACATAGCACTTTTGTTATGTAACTAGTACTATGTCCATATTAAAGTAATAGAACAGAGATGGCAGAAACAGAAAGGGAATTTAATGCATAAGCTCTGTACCTTGTTAACTTCACGTGTAAATTGAAACTCTGTAGTGTCCTGAAAAGTCTCAGATGCAAAGTCAAGTTTAATAACTGAATTTTCCCCCAAGCCCTGTTAATTTCACAAGGAAAAATTGTAGAATACATTAGACAAATGTATACACACAGTGACAATTTTTACAAGTATATGAGCAATTCAGTTCCTATTGCAATTTAAACAACCTATTAATTAGCTAATCAAAGTATATTATTGACAATGGATTCTACCTCCTGTAATCAGAGTCAAACTGCAAGTGTCTCAAGGGAGACTGAGGCATGGAGGAAGAATTCAAAGAGTGTTTCAGGTTAGTAACAGTCAGAGGTGATTTTTAAGTGTTTACTGCACCTCCTTCCAACACATACACACAAAGTACATATCAGAATGGTTACCCATCTAGTCAGACTGGCTGCCAGCAAGTCTTAGTACATTTGGCTCATTATTGGTTCCACTATCAAGGGTATCTCTTCCTCAAAAGAAAAAAATAAATAGCATTTAAACATTATCAGAAGATAGGAAGGGAAAAGTTTATTTTCACATCAAATCATGCACAGTTCCTGGATGCTGAAGTCTACTCCTCATTACATCAGACTTCCATTGGTAAAGGTTTCATCCATTGGGTCTATTCATCATCATCCTTAGGTGAAGATGTTCTGTAGTCCTCACTGTAGTCTGCTCTTAACAGACCTTTCATTGCTCTCTATATTTGGCCCATCAATTGCCTAGTCTAGTACCATGCCATAGTCTATAAAACTCTTTAGAAATGATTTTTTGACAAAGAGAAGTGTGGGAATTTCACTCCAAATGTGGTTGGGTAATACAGTGCAAGGATATTCCTGTAGCAGGAAAGTCAGTTGGTTTGTCTTACAGAATCTAACCCAGAGTAGATGATTAGTTTGTTGCATGGAGGCATCATCTGTGGAAAACCAGAGTATGCTAGACAGTCTTTGATTCTTTTCTAAGAGAAACTCACTATTTAAGATGTTTTCTTTAAGACTTCATTGACTAGACAAGAAACACATATGCCTCACTATTCAGGGCAAGTTCTTTCTAGCCTAAGTGTCTCTCCAACTCTTCTTAGAAGTGGGTGGATTGCTCTTTCCAAATCTTTGCTTTTGATCTAAGAAGCAATGGAGATAAGAAATCAAATAATAAACATTAGAAACATACCTCAATGCAAAACTAAAACTAAATACCTAAATAAGAGACAAAAGCTCCCTCAGCTACGAAATATGACTCCATTTCCTGGAGCTTACAAGAGAAATAGTTTCATTTGGCATTTCAGTATGTTTATTCACTTTTGAAAATAATGTCATCCTTGCAGAGAATTTGTGTTTTAATGTCTGTTTTAACATCATGCAACCAATAGTTCACTGTTCACAAAAATTCTAGAATAGAGATCAGTAATTTTTGTTTGTAAAGGGCGAGGTAGAGTATCTTTTGAGCATTGTGGGACAGATAGTATTTGTGGCAACTACTGAGTATTACCTTTGTAGTCTAAGAGCAGCCAATATGAAAAAGAATGACAGAATGACAATATGAAAAAGAATGGGTGTAGCTGTGTTCCAATAAACTATACTTTATAAATACAGACTGTAGGCCAGATTTGTTTTGGACGTCATTGCTTGCAGACCCACAATCTAGAATATGACCTGAAGTCTGGCCTTAAAGATAGAATTCACTGTCCTTTGCCTGCTAAATTTCAGCCAGAAATAATGCTCCCTTTCTGGAATTCACTTCTCAAATGAATATATAAACAAAATTCAGTAATACAAAGTGATGTTGTTTTCTTACATTCCAACCTGACAGCTCCCATGGGCGGAAGGGGAAAAGGAAAATGCATCATTATTTTAATATTTAGCTTCTTTATAATATTATGTAAGAAACACATTTATGGTATAAAGTGGTGTGGTTAATTAGGAAGACAAGTATGTAATTGTCATACTGAAATGCACAGAAGTAACTAGATATTTTTTATTTAGTAGTTACACCCATTAAGTAGATCAGTGGTGTAGGACAGATGCAGCATTGGATAGATCCCACTCCAGTAGAAAAGGGATTTTCTAAACTGTACATTACACAGTGTCACATTATATAAAGTTATTGCTACATCAGGTGACACAGAAGAAACTGATATTACATTGACCTGATGCAAATTCAAATGGAAAATTTGGAGCATACAAATGGATTAAACACCCTTGAAAATCAGGTAGAGTACAATTCCAGAGGATTTCAGTCATTCAGAAATGCTATTACCTCCCAGCTAAGAAATGCCAACTGTTTTGTTAGTGATCACACTGAAGCATGAAATTGGGGAGGAAGACTGTTAATGGGTCAGTTAAGGTAAGAATTCAGAAATATTATTTTAAGGTGGAATGTTGTGACAAATATGTGGCAAAATGTAAAATTACCTCTCAGAAAAATCTATGTTTATTTTCAGTCACTGTTTATAGTTTGGAAAATGTTTTTTGACTGGAAAATCCCACTTGAAAAGTTCCTACCCTAAAAAGCTCACAGCCCTTATCAGAGTAGGTCTATCACTGTCCTTATACACTACCACTTTCTTCTTGGAAAACAACTTATATACTATATAAAATGTATACTTTTTTCTAAAAATAGCATTTTATACTGCTTTAGAAAGAGGTTTTCTTTTTCCTTTATATTGTAAAACTTATGAACATATAATAGAGGGATGAGTTAACAAATGTGTTAAAGCTGGAGTTTGCAAACACAAGTTAACCAATAAAGGTTTACTATCTGGTAAACTCTCTACTGATGAAAAAGTCTTAACTGTAATAGATAGTTGCCCATCAGATGAATTAAACTTTTAAAAAATATAGATTTTAAATACATAATGTTTGATTACTTAACTGAAACTACT